AACACAAGAAAGTGAACCTTTTAAACAAAAAAGTTTTTATTTACCTTTTTATTTATCGTCAACCCACCTCCAGATGCCATTCTTGGCTAAGCAAAGCTGACATGAAGCCTCCTGCAGCATCCTCCTGGGATACCATCGTTATATATACCAGGAGGCTGTTGGAAGCTTCCTCAAAGCGGCAGACTTCCTCAAAGCGGCAGACTTCCTCAAAGCGGCATCCTTCGTCTGGTGTAACATCATCAAGGGGCTGACTACAGCAACCTGGCTGGCTCCCAATGACAAAATAAACAGAGATGCTCTTCTCCTGCTTGTCCCATCCCATCGTGTGGGATGGGACAAGCAGGGGAAGAGCAGAGAGGGCGAAAAGGACAACGCAGGATTCGTTGGGCTTGTAAGTATGTTTTTCCTGGGCAAAAGATCATCAAAAGTAAGAAGCATACTGTAGGTTAATTTAATGGGAATAAGTGACATTTCTGTTGGAACTTCTTGCATAGCCTCACAGAGAAACACAAGCACACAGTCAGATATGCATGCTGCACATGGCTTGGAAAACAGGAAGGAAGCCACAGCTTTATTCTCTACCTCAGGGGCACCCACAATTTTTCGTCTGGAGATCTACTTTTCAATTGACAAGCTTAATGAGATCTACCAACGAAAAAGCACCTGCATTCAGGGCCGGGAGGGGGCATGCAGTGCATTGAAGTCAATGGCACCGCAGCCATGCCCCCAATTGCCGCATCAGGAATGCAGGCACATTAGTGCCTGCTTTTCGGTCCAGTGCGATCTGCAAAAATGCTGCATTTTAAAATATTTTTGCAAATCACGCTGGACCGGAATGCAGGCATTAATGTGCCTGCATTCCGGGTGCGGGCAATCACACTGAGGGCGGGGGGCGTGGCTGCGGTGACATTGACTGCCCCCTCCCGCCCCTGAATGCAGAGAGCCGGCCGGCTTGCGTTCCAATGCGGTCTAGAGGCCGAACGCAGACTTTGTGGAGTGAACCGGCCCTCTCTTCTCTCTCTCCTCGCGCTCTCTCCCCTCTCTCTCCCCTGTTTCTATCTGCTGTCTCTTCTCTCACTTTCTCTGCTTTCTCTCTCCTGTCTGTCTTTTCTTACCTCCACTGCAGCAGCTTCAAGTCTCCTCTCCTCCCCGTCTGCGGTGCCTGATACATTCAGCCACACGAGCACCGCGGGAGGACAGGACACAGGTCAGTGAGCCGATCGCGATCTACCAGTGTTCGCTTTGCGATCTACTGGTAGATCGCGATCTACCTAATGGGCACCCCTGCTCTACCTTATTCAATACAAGAGTACAGAACTTATAAACACTGCCATCTACTGACCAAAATGTATACCGCAGGAGTTGTTGCAATAGCTATAATAATGTGTATTCTAACAGCTTCTCTTTAAATGCAGGATAGTGTGTATTGAATAGATTTATTTGTGTGACCTAAAAAAGCAATGTAACATAGTCCCATACCTAGAGAAAAGTGCTTCCTACTATACAACCAGCCACACCCCTGATGAAGTCACGCCCTTTGACGTAATGTACGTAGGGTGGAGTAGAGGAGCTGAGCGATTTGCACACAGTGTCTGTGGCTGCTTACCAAATACCTCACTTTTATCTATGATATGTGAGTAGTATTCCATTTTTTTTAATAAAGTCTAGTATCCTTTTAAAACCATCTGCACTACGAGTTTCCACTTTTTATTTTATCTGATGCATGGGCCATTCGGATGAACTGTCTGCTTCCAATTCCTAAGACTGCAAGAGAGTCTGTACCTGAGAGGAGGTAATCACTGGGAGGTATTCGGCATGAGGTGCTTCCTCTACCTGGTTCGAATTAGAGGAACAGCGCATACAGACCCTGGTGGGTCTCTGCTAAAGGTGAGGTGCATTCCAGAAGATTTCTCTGTTGATGGACACCGGAGACTAAGTTTATTCTACATCCAATGTTTTATCTTCTATTTACTTAATGGACTATTGAAGATCCAGGATCATGGACATTTTTTAACCATTTATTATTTTCACTGGAGTGCAAGTTACACACATGCGTTTTTCTTGTCGGTATTCTTTGCACATTGCATCACATTGATTCACAGTTAATATTTAGTGCATTTGATTTTTCATTATGGATATTTTGTAGCAATTACATTTACACTAAGGTGCATGTTATATACATGCGTTTCTTTTTTGTTTTGCACTTTTTACA